CGTGTTCCTCTTTGGCAGGGCAAAAGTCCCCGAATCCACTTTCCTCATTGGTTCCTACTGGCTACTGAAAAAATCTCCAGTCGGAATGCTGGGTAAGTAGTGCTTGCTTTATGGACAAAGAAAAGGTGAGCTTTTTCAGTTAAGTTCATTAAATTAAACGACATATGCTGCTGGAGATATTGTAGCATAGCAGTTAAGGAGAGCGCTGAAAGTGGACCATCAGCACAACTGTTCACTGCCTTTGTGATCATGGGCAAGTGGCTTAATTTCTCGAAGCCTCAGTTTCCTCCCCTGTAAAATGGGAATAATAATGATAACAGCATCCTGCCCTTAGAACTGTTATAAGAACTGCATAAGGTAATGTATGTGAAAGTGTGTAACACACTGCCTGGTATAGAGTTAGCCCACAATAAATGTTAGCTATTTAACTATTAAGACTATAAGCATACATTCTACAGATGACCATCTATGGGGCACCTAGAACTTTCAAAGTTTTGGCCCATGGCCAACAGTAAGATTTTCATTTTATATCATAACCTGAAGATAACACACACAAAGCTGAAAGATTATAATACTTAGCCTTACAACTTGCGATGCACTCTGATATTCCTTCATTTGCTCTATTTCATCACATAAACACACACAAAATGTGGGTCCCAACTCATCAGTGGAGAAACAGTGATCTGGTGGGTATTCCGGGGGTCAATGCTCTGTCCTTAAAGGTGACAGAATAGGTAAAGACCATATCCTCATGTCTTCTAAACAGGTGTAGTCACATTAATGGGGGAAAAAAATCAGTTGGTGATACTCTCTACAGAATCTGAAATTCACTCAATGAGCATTTGAGTGGACTTACATGTACAGAAGCCAGGAGTTGGGGAAGGGGACCCAAGTATAAAACATGGTGCTTGCCCTCAAGGAGCTTATAGTTGAGTACCAGTTAAGATCCATTCACTCATTCATTTAATAAACTGAGCACCTACTATGTGCGAGGAAGCACTGTTCTGCATCAGTGAACAAGACAAGTTCCTGCCTCACCAACCTTATCTTCTCATGATAGTGCCAGACAATAAACAAATAACCGGTGCAGACACTGGTAAAGGCTCTTAAGAAAAGGTAAGAAAAAAAAATAAAAAAAGCAAAGGTAAGGAAATGTAGAGTGACTGATAGGAAGGCCTATCCTAGATAAGGTAGTCAGGGAACACCTCTAAGAAAAAGGTATTTGACCAGAAACACGAAGTGAGGGAGTGAACCCTGTAAATTCTAAAAGAAAGGCACTCCATTAAGAGGGGCCAACAAGAACAAAGGCTCTGAGGCAGAAATGGAATACTCCAGAAACAGGAAGAACAAGGTGGCTAGAAATCAGGGAGCCTATGAAAGGTAGATGGGGCCAGATGACATAGCGTCATGAAGGTCATGTTAATCTTAAATTACATCTGAATGTGATGGGGAACCATTGTAGACATGGGGGCAGGAGAGTAACATGATCTGGTTTATGTTTTAAAAGGATCACACTTGCTGCTGTGTGGAAAACCGACTGAAGAGGGCAAGAGGAAAGCAACTGAACGGGTCAGGAGGCTATCATGGCAGTCAAACAAGAGATGATGGTAGCTTGGATAAGACTGACATTGATGGAGGTGGCAAGAAGTGATGGGATCAGCAGCACCTACTTTGAAAGTCGCTGCCTCTCCATATCCATAATACAACGTAGAACGTGAGGTGCCAAGATAGAGTACACTGTGTTGTGGGAACTCAGATGAAAATTACATCTGGCTGTGGGATGAGCTGGCACTTGAGCTGTGTCTTCAAGGATGAGTGGGTAGAAATGGCAAGGGAGGAGAAGACATTCCAAAGAAAGGGAAAAGCATATGAGTAAAGGCACAAAAGAGGGAAGGCAGAAGGCGTGTTTGAGGACCCGGGGCAGTTCTGTGGATTATGGTAGGCCTGAAAGGGCAGAATGGGAGGTAAGATTGAACAGGTTTGTTGGGGATAAATCACAAAGGGCTCGCAGTGCCATGATAGAGTTTGGGCAATGGAGAGCCATAGCATGTTCCTAATGAGGGTTTTATGTGATCAGAGCTTTAGTGTATTGGGTTAACGAGAGGCTGCAGGGGAACCTGATAGTTTCTGCTTTGGGCCTCTGTAGATTCATTCATTAAGGCAATCTTTGACTTTAATCCTAAATCTTTTGTTCCAGCCAGACCAGCCTTCTCCCTGACCAGTGGGCTGCCCACAACCATCCCTTCCTCCTTGCCTTTACTCATGTAGTTCTCAGCACCTAGGACACCTTCCCCAGCTCCTGTCCATTTATTCAAAACCTCCCCATTCTTCTCTGGCTTCTTGGCCTCTACTGCTCTCCCCCTTCTATCAAAGCACTTGTCTACACCACTCATGCTGGCTCTTAACCTCATATAGTCACTCACATTTCCTTAAGTACATATTTCAAGAACGTAGGTAGGCCTTTCCCTAAGAGATGTAAACTCCTTTCGGTCAAGGACATTACCTGGCATTCCCTTTGGCTTCTCCACAGTGCCTGGCACTCAGTAGCTATTCAATTATATTGACCACCCTCATACCTAATAAAGTGAGTGTTGAGAGCCAAGTGGCCTCCTTAAAAGCCAAGAGTAGAAAGGCAATTGTCCAGATACACTGACATTTAGACACACAGCCCAAGGGGACCTATCTCCTTGTCTCCAAATGTCTTCCATTCCCTGATCATCCCAGAAACGAACACATTAAGAACTGGACACACTTAGGTTTTGCCTTCCATAAAAGAACCGTCCTGGGGAATTACCTCTGCTCTAGAGACTATAATCCACATTCAAGAGAACACACCAAGCCCATGATTTCCCACAGGGAAACAGGGAAGCGGGCCTGGGTCAGATGCAGGTCCTCTCCTCTCCCCCTCACACCTCTGCCCCTCCTCCAGCCCTTGGTGGTTTCCCTGCATCCGGCTCCCACCCTCTGTGCCACATCATCCATCATTTTTCCCTGAGATGGTTTACTTTAGGGATTTCCACTCTAGAGCCACCCTCCCACCCCGTTTCACCGGGCACGGGAACTAGCAAGCAGTGAGACACAAGTTTCAAGATAGCAACAAGCCTGCATGGACTCTCTCAACACCTGACACCCTGCAGGGACATGGGTCACTTAAGGACACCACGCAAAGGCACAGATGATGGGTTTCCTTCTCTGTTGCTGTGGACACTCAATTCGGTGCGTGGCCTGTCCTTGGCCTCCAGCGCTCACTGGTTCTCCCCAGGTGCTTCGTCTGCCATTTCCGGGAGAGGTTTTGGGGCCGGGGGAGTCAGCGAGGTCACCGACCCGGGAAGGATGAAGATTTTAGATTCTCGCCCGTGGGCTGAGCTCGGTGCTCGGCACAGGATCCAGTAAGCCAGGGCACCTGACCCAACCCAGCTCAGAGTCTGGCGGTCAAGACCAACCGAGGCATCTACGCCACAGCGTCGGCACAGTAACGGAGGCCAAAGAGGGCTGCGGGCTCCCCCTCATTTCAAAACCTCTTCTCCCCGCCTCCCTCCCAAGCCAAGCTTAGGTTTAAATCTGGAACCGTCTCTTCCCTTACAAAAGAGTCCCCCTACTCTGCCCCCTTCTTGCATCCCTGAAACTCAGGGGGGTGGGGGTTAAGGAAGGGAGACCTCCTTTCACCGAGTTCCATCCCGTTCCCCCACAACCGGGCTAGCATGGAGCTCAGCAACCCTGGCCGGCAACCCTGGTCTCCAAGTCCAGGACAGAGAAGGGCGGCGGTGCCAGGTCCTCGGGCGGGGACGTGGCTGCACGACGCAGACTTCCCCTCCGCCTGCTCAGGCCGGCCCGCCCCCACCGCGGCGGCCTCCCTCCCACGCGTGGGAGCCGAGCGGCGGCGGCGGCCGGGTGGAGCCTGCCGTTCACGCGGGCGGCACGCGGCGCTGCGCCCCGGGCACGTGAGGGGGCGGGGCCTGCGCCCAGGATCCCCTCTCGCGGCTGCTTGCGTAGGAGCGCGGCGCCCGCCCCCGCCCGCGCCCGCTCCGCCCCGCCCGGCGCCACCGCCCTCGCGCAGCTGAACGCGCCGCCTCCGTCCCGAGAGCTCCCGCGCGTGGGCGAGCCCCGGAGCCGGGGGAGCTGGAGCTGTGCGACTAGGAGCTAGGGGAAGGAGGGGGGGGCGGGGGGGGGGAGGAGAGGGAGGCACGGGGGTAGGGGCTGGCGCCCGGCGCTGCACTAGGCCCTCCGACGGGGCAAGCCCCCTCCCCCAGTCCCTCCAAAGGCTCTCCCGTACCATCCGGGGTTTTCCTACATTTGGGGCGAGGAGAAGTAGGGATGCGGAATACAGCTGCCGGCTGGTGGAGGCGAGGGGTGCGGTCAGATGCGAGGATACCCCCTTAACACCCCGCCCCCCCATCCACCCACGCGCGCGTGTTCTCCCAGCGCTGATGATGCCCTGCCCGCTCCGCTGCTCTCGCTCGGCTCGTGACTCTGCTTCGTGCTGGCAAAATTCCGCAGCGTGCACTTGGGGGCGGGGGCGGGAGGTTGGCTCCCAGCCTTGCCCCTTGAGCTTGCCACCCTCGGGCCTGCCCAACTGCCAGGCACCCCACTTACCTCCCCTCACCCCGCCTCCAATGACTGTGGCTTCCCACACCAGGTCATTGCCAGGCCCAGCCCCCGTGTCCCCGTCCACCCTATGGGACACTCTTGTGTCTCCATCCTGCACCTGGTTGCCCTTGATGGCATTGAAATCTCCCATGTTTTCCTCTGGGCCCCACAGCCCCACCTCCGGAGTCCACATGGTTGCTGGCGGCAGAGGGAGAGGAGGGCGGCCCACAGGCTATCCACACGGCCCCTGTGGTGTACACCCTCTTGGAACAGGGCAGTGGAAAAACAAACAGGAACTCCGCAGGAGGAGATGGATCCTAAACACCAGCTCATTTCCACTCTTTGTTGATCACCCAAGCACGTGTCCCTCCCCCCCTCCCCGGAAGTAAATATTGTGGTTTGGTTCCGTTCCATTCAGCACCGAAGAGTACGCATTCGCTGCCCCTGCTAACTGGGCAGCAAGGCCTAGCCCAGGTTTCTCTCCTCTGGGTTGCAGTGCGTCTGACGCAGGGTCTGAGGTAAGGTGGTGTGTGTTGGACACAGAGGTAGGGTGAGAAATAAATATGAAAGGCGAGAGATACCCAGAAGTCAGGTCCGGCCCTCTCCCAGTTGTTAACACCCTGCCCTGGAAGGTGTGGGCTCGCTCCTCTGAGGCCCGTCCCCTAGCTGGAGGATGATTCTGGATGTTGCCCTAAGAGACAGACCTGGGGCCCTCGCTTCCAGGTGGCGGTTGCCTGGGCTAAAGTTTCACCAAGAGAGAGGCAGCAGGGCTGGGGGTTGCAATTCCAGGTTCCAGTGTTACCTGCTAAGGGCTTGCCCTGGATAGGCTCTTGAAAACTGCCTTGTAAACAAGCTGTTTCAGCCCCAAAAGAGAAGTCTGAGTGGATGGTTCAGTGTCCCCTGGGCCCTCTTCTGCTCCAGTCTACTGGGGTTGTTGAATCCGGTTGCCTTGGACATAAGAAACTTGAGGACGTCCTTCAGAAAGCCCTCTGCGCTCCAGGTCAAGCTCCTCAGGATTCCTGTTGTTCAGGATAGCGGTTCCATACAGTTTAGCAGCAGCTTGTGCTTTGAGTTAATTTTGTCACCTGGTATCACCTTGAAAACAGAGGTTTATGTGCAAGCATGCAAAAGGCCTCAGGAGAGGGCTGCACTCCTGGAGGAAAGGGCACTGCAGAGCTTTAGGATTCTTTGACCATTTATTTACTCGTTCATGTTTCTTGAGGGCTTACTGTGTTCTGTACCTTATGCAAGGCACTGGGGAAACCTAGTTCAAATGACATGGCCTCTGTTGATGAGGAGTATTGGGTCCACTGAGAAGACAGTAAATGATTTTATCACAGTGAAATGATATAACTGGATTGCTCATGTGATACAATGGTAACATAAGGGGGAAGCTGCTGAAATCTGCACCGGGGAGTGTATCTGTCAGCTTGGGCTACATTATGTTGCAGTAACAATTGACTCCAATGGCTCAAGTAGCTAAACACAATCGAGGTTTTTATTTTCTCACATGCATGTCCACCAGAGGTCTCCTGCGGTTTTGCTGCATGCTCCCTTTGTTCTGGAACCAAAGGTAAAGGTGCTGTCCCTACGTGGGTCTGGCTGGTCTTAATGGCAAAGAGAAAATAGAGATGGCAGAGCCATGTAATGGCTTCTGCTCCAGAGTAGTATATGTCACTCTCACTCATGCCACATTGGCCAAAGCAAGTCTTGTGATTAAGTTGGCCATAAATAGAGCAGAAAGTATAATCTTCCTTCACGGTCAGGTGGGGTGGTGAATATCTGGACCAATAATACAATCTACCACAGCTTTCCAGAGGTGGTGATGCTTGGACCGATTGCAAAAGTAAATTAGAACTTGGGCAGGCAAGCAGACAAGGCAGGGAAGGATATTCCTATAGAGAGAACCTCATTGGCCACAGTCATAGAGGCATGAAGCTGCCTGGTACAACAGCCTTTCCCCCTAAGTCTGCACGGTGTGGGGCAGCATTCCTCATCCACTGTCCCTTTCCATGGATGAATCTCTTTTTAGGGGCCTGCCTCCAGCCCTGTTTCAAAGGGTTGTCAGTGGGGGAAAGATGCTGATTGGTTGTTGTATGTCTTCCCAGAGGAAATGGACCCAAGTTACTCCAAAAGCCTCTTGTCCTCCATAAATACTGGAAAACAGAACAGCGACAAAAACAAATCGGCAAATTGCCATGAGATTCTTGTCATCTTGGAGGCTTGATAGTGATGGGTCTGGACAGCCATGCCAGGTGGGGGGTGCTGGGGGCTACCAGAGCGCCCCTGCAGGTGTCAAGCCTTCTAAGATTTCAGCCTTTGTTCATGGAGGAGTTTCAGGGGATGTCTCTAGATGGTTCTTATAGTCACCTGGGTCTCTGCAACCCTGCCTCTGTCTCCTGGTGAGCCCGATCAATAAAAGCCTCATTCCCACCCACTTCTTTCATTTTCTATCTTGATTTAAGTGTTAAAAGAGGAACCTGTTGGACTTCCCCAGTGGCGCAGTGGATAAGAATTCGCCTGCCAATGCAGGGGACATGGGTTCAATCCCTGGTCCGGGAAGATCCCACATGCCGGGGAGCAAATAAGCCCATGGGCCACAGCTACTGAGCCTGTGCCCTGGAGCCCGTGAGCCACAACTACTAAAGCCTGCGTGCCTAGAGCCCATGCTCCACAGCAAGAGAAGCCACCACGAAGAGTAGTCCCCGCTCACCACAACTAGAGAAAGCCTGCGCACAGCAACGAAGGCCCAAGGCAGCCAAAAATAAATAAAATTAAAAAAAAAAAGAGGGATCTGTTGACCAAGGTGCCTAGGTGGCAAACACACCGTAAGATGCTGTTAAGCAAGAACAAATGCATGTTATTGATTTCCAGAAGGATTAGGTAAACCTTTTGTAGTGGTTTGGCTTTTCCTTTATGGTAGTCTAGATGCCTGGAGGGCAGTGCTCATGGCCTGATTCTTTTCCCCTCTGTAACCCCTAGAGCAGTATTTCCCTGAGTACCAGAGCCACCCAAGGGAGATTTGTTTCTGGGTTGATTCGTTGGAAGGCAACCCTCCTAAAGAGAGTCAGGAATATTTCAGTTGCAAGTAACTGAAAATTCAGCCTAACTGGCTTAATTTAAAGTGGATTTTTTATTTTTTTAGTTCACATAACTGGAAAGTACATAGGGCAGTGTCACCCTCAGGCGTGGCTTCACGTAGGGGCTTAAAGCAGACATCTGGTTTCATTCTCTCTCCCTGTCTAGGCTCTGCTTTCTCCTCGGCGGGCTCCTGTCTCAGATAGGCTCCTTCAGGCTCGTTGTAAGATGGCTCCAGAACTTCCAATCTTGCACCTACCTGGATTCACGTCCATTGGGAAAGAATGTCTGTGCCTTTCCCAGCATTCCTGGCACAGGTCTCTCCTAAACCAATCGTGGTTTTGTGATTGTGATGCTCCATTGATAAAGGCCAAAGGCACATATATTTTGGGTGAGTTTCACCCCACTCAAAGCACGGGACTGAGAGATGGAGAGGAATGGTTCTCAGGAGGCATCCAAAGGTGGTGACGAGAGGAAAGGTGAATGGCAGGTGGGTGACAAAAACAGCAGATGTTCAATTCATTAACAGTAGTCTGTATCCGCCAGCTATTGCTACGGTAACGCTGTATAACAAACCACCCCAAAACTCAGTGGTTTACAATATTTAGCATTAACTTTTTTTCTCATTCACAGGGTTGTGGAGTGGTTGGCTCATTTCTGCTTTGGGCTGCAGAATGACTAAGCTTGGCCCCAGGATGTGGACTGGGTTCAGGTTTAGTCTATTTCCTCTCATCTTCCTGGGAACAGGAGCCACCTCGGGTATGTTCTTCTTGTGGTGAGTGGCAGAAACACACCGCGCCTTTTAAGACCTTGGCTCAGAACTGGCACGCCTATTGGCTCTGCCCATATTCCTTTGGCCAAAACAAGTCAGAAGGCCAAGCCCAACATCAGTGGGGCAGAGAAATATACTGAAAAATAATCCAGTTCATCACAGTGTTGGAAAAAGTGAGCTCAGCAATAGGATTAGAATGGGCTGCTCCAAATTTCCCAAACTCCATCCCTGTGGCTTTATTCACAGTTGTCCCATGTTCACATGGACATGTGTGAAAAGTTTCTGCTGAGAAAATCATGTATCAAGTTCTTTTGTCTCCCTAACTTCCCTTTCCCCTGGCCTCAGCCTTCAGTCTGCCTCTAGATTTTCCTGCACCAACTGTCTGTGATTCACTTCACCTCTTTTTGAGGCTGTGAGGGCTGATACAAGAGCTATGGTGGGTGAGTGTCAACAGCAGGTGAGTGCCCACCTGTCTGGAACATTGTGGAAAGAATTCTTGCCGTGAGTGGGAGATTGGATAAGAAGAGATTACTTCTTGAGCCCTTTCCCACACTAAGATACTCTGATTCTGGGTATCCTATGTGTGGGTTTTACCCCACAGGCCTGTAAGTCTTGTAGTTGCCCAGCCTAAAGACTGAAGAAAGAGCCCAGAGACAGTGACAGAGACATCAGGGATTTATTGGACAGAGGCTCTTACACAAAGGGTCCTGGAGTGACACCCCACCGTACATGGCAGATGGTGGGCAGGACATGGCATCAGTCTTCACTACTCATGGGAGAAGGAGGCTACCGTTTATAGGGGGAGTTGACAGCCAGGTGGGCCCATCAGTTACCAGGGACTAATTAAGCCCTAAAATTAAGAGGATTACATAGTCATGTGAGAGAAGCAGGGACTGGTTGAGCAGGGGATGTACAGAGAGCAAGAGAACAGCCATCTTGAATAGCCTAACCATACACTGTGTCAATTTCTGACCTGTGTAGTTGTATTTTAGGATACACGGTTTGACCTGTGAATCTTAGATCTCTTTGCCTCCAGCGTCCTCAGTCTGGGATCCATCAGGGCCTGAGACAATAAGCTCAAGTACCCAGAAGACCATTATTCTGCCTCCTCTTGGGGACCCCATGAGGAAGAGGAATTGGAAGAAGGCAAGTTTCTCAGCAGCCACATTTCTTTATAAAGCTTTTCTTTGCCTCTGGATGGCTTCAGATGGAAGAGCCATCCGGAAACATTAGTCTCTCCCTCTCTCCCTCCCTTCCTTTCTTCCTTCTTTCCTTCCTTACTTTCTTTTAAAAATGGATCTCCAAGAAACAAAGCACAACTTTTTCATTCTGTATGCCAGGGGTGCAAAGGCCTCCACATAAGGAAGTTCTGCAGTGTCTAACTTGATTCTCCATGGCTGGCCATCATTTCTCCCTTCTCGTCTCTTCACATCTTTGCATATGGTGGAATCCATCTCTAACGCTGGTGTTATAGAGACCTGGTTCCAGAAGAAAGAACTAGTATTGTTTTCTTTTATTTCATATCAACAGGCAATTGTTGAACGAGTGTGATTGTCCCCATAAACACTGCAGTGTTAAGGGCATCACCTTTGGAGTCAGACTGTCTGGGTTCCAGTTCTGGCTCTGCCACTTACTAGCTGTATGACCTTGGACAGGTTATTAATCATCACTTGTCCACAGTCTCCTTGTCTGTAAAATGTCTTTATGAGAGTACCTCTCACAGGGTTCTCATGAGGGACAAGAGAGTTAACACACGTAGAGCACTTAGAATAGTGCCTGGCCTATATGTGCTCAGTAAACTTGGGCTGTTATTATCCTTACTTTGAGATGTAAGACTTAGTTGCTGGGGACTTCCCTGGTGGCGCGGTGGTTAAGAATCCACCTGCCAATGCAGGGGACACGGGTTCGATCCCTGGTCCAGGAAGATCCCACATGCCATGGAGCAACTAAGCCCGTGCGCCACAACTACTGAGCCTTTGCTCTAGAGCCCGCGAGCCACAACTACTGTGCCCGTGTGCCACAACTACTGAAGCCCACGCACCTAGAGCCCGTGCTCCGCAACAAGAGAAGCCGGCGCACCACAATGAAGAGTAGCCCCTGCTCACCGCAACTAGAGAAAGCCCACACGCAGCAATGGAGATCCAATGCAGCCAAAAATAAATTAATTAATTAAAAAAAAATAAAGACTTAGTTGCTGTCCTAAAACTCCAGGGAAGAAAACTGCATTGATGACACTGGGGGGGTAGCTGTCCTCTTGTTTAAAATGGCAAGGGGACATAGGTGGTTGTAGGAACAAAGTGAGAGAAAGTTACAAGGAGGTAGATTTTGTAAGATAAGATCTTCCTAACAATAGCATTGGTAAGTAATGAGCTCCCCTGTCATCAGAGGCATTCAGGCAAATCCTGAATAGACATCCAGGTAGATGGTATATGACTTTGCAAATGGGTAGTCCATGGGCTGGATGGATCTCACCTGCAAAGGTGTGTTATTTAGGCGGTCACGTATTTTTAAAAAGTTTCAATGACTCGACCGTTGATTAGGAGAGGATTCCCTGGCAGTCCAGTGGTTAGGACCCCACATTTCCATTGCTGGGGGCACGGGTTTGATCCCTGGTTGGGGAACTAAGATCCCACAAGCTGCGTGGTATGGCCAAATAAAAATTTTAAAAGATTAAAAATAAAAACAAACAAAAAACGATGGATTAGGAGATTTTTGTTAAAAAGTCTAGATTTTCAGCTTGTTTGTGTTTTGCAGATGTTGGAAGATCTGGCAACACTGAATGACAGTCCTGCATATCAGTAATGCAGCTGAGCTGTGGCTACTCCCTTAAGATAAAGCCTATTGTACATATATGTATGTCTTATACCCTCTTTTAGGGCCGCATCTCTCATTTATGGGAGGCAACTGACTCCTGTGTATTTTTTTTTAAATTTTATTATTATTATTATTTTTTTTTTGCGGTACGCGGGCCTCTCACTGTTGTGGCCTCTCCCATTGCGGAGCACAGGCTCCGGACGCACAGGGTCAGCGGCCATGGCTCATGGGCCCAGCTGCTCCACGGCACGTGGGATCTTCCCGGACCAGGGCACGAACCCGTGTCCCCTGCATCGGCAGGCAGACTCTCAACCACTGCACCACCGGGGAAGCCCTCCTGTGTACTTTTAAATTTACAACACCTGTTGCAGAATGTCTGCATAGTGGGTGGGAGGCTAGATCAGATGAGATCACCTTTAGGATGACCTGATCCCAGATGAACTCCCTCCTAATTCTGAGAGCCTCCATTCTGGATGCAAATCTGACCTCTGGCACAGCACCATTCATTAAGCGTGCCCTGCACACCTACTCCTTGCTAAGCCCTATGATTCATACTAGAATACTAAACTGGCCTTCAATGGGTCCTATTTTAAATATTGAAAGGAGAACACTTGTTTTCTTTATTCACTATTCACTGACTACTTCTTACACCAAATGTGGGTGGCTTTTTCCCCATCAAGCAGTTCTTCAACTCTTCAGACATCAGCTGGGTGTCCTACAATTCAAACTCAATTCTGAAAATAATGCCTGTAGTTCGCACAGGCCCCATGGGTTAAGGGCTCAGTTCCATGACTGCCCACCCTCCTCCCTCCCTTAGATGCCAGTCGCCAAGTCCAGGTTGTCACCTGTGCTTCTTACCTTCTGGCTATAAATTAGAGGCTCCCATGACCCCCTCCTTGGGTTTGATAGTTTGCTAGAACATCTCACAGAGCTCAGGAACATCTCACAGAGCACAGTTTACTTACTAGATAATTGGTTTATTATAAAAAGATACAACTCAGAACGGCCAGATCAAAGAGGTGCATAGGGCAAGGCATGTGGGGAGGGATGTGGAGCTTCCAAGCCTTCCTGTATGGTCAGGCCACCCGAGATGGCTGTTCTCTTGCTCTCTGTACATCCCCTGCTCGACCAGTGCCTGCTTCACCTGTACCCTACTCGCATGACTGCCCGTACTACATACTTGCCTCCCACCCCAGCTAGAGATTGTTCTAAACTGACGTCACTGATTGATCCCACCTGACGTCAATTCCCTCTATAATTGATAACCGCCCACTCCCTCCCGGTAGTGAAGATTACCGCCCAGTCCAGCCCGCCTGTCTGCATCGTAGGGTGTTGCTCCAGGATCCTGCTTCAGACGCTTCAGATGTGTAAGCTCCCCCATTTATTAAACCATTGGCGTCTCTGTTGCTGACTCTAGGCTTCTTCTTCGGTCCTGAAGCTGGGCAAGTACAGGCATGGTAGGCCTGGGGGGTGCAGCCCAACAATTGGCGGCGCTTGCCAGGAGACCGAGGAAATTTCCGTGAGTGCAGAGATGTCGGGAGATAAGGAAGGGGAATGGAAAGTTGCGGGGCCATCCACTAATATGTGGGCCTAGGAGATCCCAGGGTGTCTGTCCACTAGTATGTGGGGTCCTGTGGTGGCTGTCCTTGAGGAAGGGGGGCTGCCAAGAGAGTATGGAAAACAGTGGCCCCTAATGGCTCTGCTATTGTGTCAAAGTGAGCCTTTTGTCATTGGGTTGGCTTTTACCTTGGATGTGTGCATGGGCGCCTAGTACGTACGTGAGTCCAAATCCTGTTCTCTCTCTTTGGTCTTTACCTTCGTTAAAAGGCCCTGGTAACTTGAATGCTGATTCATGTTTTTCTGAAGGTGAGGCAAATGAATGTGAGGGAACGATATGTATTATTGTCTACTGCTATTGTTTAAACTGAGTTGGCTATTTAGAAACTGAAAAATAAATTCCTAAAGATGTCCTTTTAGATGTGGACATTCTAAAACTGCTTAAAGGAAGTTAGCTTCCTAGAAGGATTGGTATTTTTCTTGCGCCTTTGAGATGTAAATGACCTGCCTGGGCTCTCAGTAACGTTAATCACCTGGTCCCTGAGAGTGAAGAAGAAAAAAAAAAGAGGCCTTTTAGAACTCTATAGGAATAATTATGTTTTGGGAATGTCTGTCTAAAATTGTTTCTCCAGATTTTGGTAATTTGCAACTAAACTAAGTTAAATGAAGAGAATTCTTCGACAATCTGGGTCATTTCAAATAGGATAAAATATTGGAACATTAATTGCTGGGGAGGTGTAAGTTTACCTACCTTTGCCTTTTTAGGAGAGAAAGACTAAAGCATAAGTTTTCCAATCAAGAAATGCTGGTAGGGCAAAAAGTTCACAATTACTTTCTTCTTGTTTTCTGCCAGAGATTAAGGTTATTAAGGGTTAAGATTATAATCGGTCATAATTCTAGTTACTGTGACCAAGTTTTTTTTTTTTAACATCTTTATTGGGGTATAATTGCTTTACAATGGTGTGTTAGTTTCTGCTTTATGACAAAGTGAATCAGTTATACATATACATATGTTCCCATATCTCTTCCCTCTTGCGTCTCCCTCCGTCCCACCCCTCCAGGCAGTCACAAAACACCGAGCTGATATCCCTGTGCTATGCAGCTGCTTCCCACTAGTGACCAAGTTTCTTTATTGATTATGTTGTAACC